ATATGCTGACTCTGTAAACCGCTTAGAGAGGGCTGAAAGCCCTATGAAGCGGTATACAAGTCTAACTGCTATTGATAACTTTTAGTTTAGACTGCTTTTGTTGTTACCTTCCTCCATATCCTCCTCCTTTTCTTCATCATCAGCCTGCTCTTGTGTCAGCTTCTTAGCCTGTTGCTCAAACCAGTGTAATCGAGGTGGCCTTTCCATGTGCTCTTTTCTCTGAAGAGAACTGCTTTCTTCCACGAGAGACGAACCAATGGCATCTGCAGACAGGGCAATCTTCTTTGGAGACGAGGATGGCTGAGCTTTGACGGCTTGCTGGATAGCAGTATTCATAGCATCTTTGTCCACGTTCTCTTGAGCAAGGCCCTTCTCTAAATTCTTCTCGTTCAAGAGCTCCACTTTCTTGCTGACAGCTTGGACCGCTTTCTTCTCAAGCTCCAAATGTTTCCTGGATTTCAGGTGGTTCTCATACGCGTTGAAGTTGGAAAATCTCTTGCTGCAAGCCACACAATAAGTTGCAGTGGCCTTGTTCTGCTCTTCCAGTCCTGCTCTTTGGGCTAGTACTCTCTCTTGAAAGTTCTCAGCAGTGACAGGAGGCATCTCAGCGACTTTCCTCTTTAAGTTATACCTGTGCCAGTCAGTCTTATAGTGGGCTCGCTGAACATCTGCATCCTTGATAGTTACTCGGCAAGTGATGCAGGTGTATGATGCTGGAGCTGGGAAGAAAGGAAACAAGTAAATACACAAGAGAGGTTGAACTGAAAGAAATTTGGCTTAATCAGTTTGCTTAGATATAATTCTATTTCAGACATTTCCATCCTGGCTCCCTCCAGCAATGCTGAACTACAACTGCCATAATTTAATCAGCATACCTGACAATAGGAATGATAGTCTAATGTTCCTGGAAGTCAAAGTTATCTTATTTTAAGAAGTCAGGGGATAGATATTTTATATGTCAAGATAGCAATAGCAGTTAGACTTATATACCGCTTCATAGGGCTTTCAGCCCTCTCTAAGCGGTTTACAGAGTCAGCGTATCG